GAGGGCTGGATCCCAGCCTTGTGTTGTGAGCTTGTCCCAGGGCCTCCCTTCTTATGGCATGTTTCCTGCTTTCTCCCTTTCTGTCCCCAACTCTGTAGTGACCTGAGCCAGAGGGGTTTCTGCTCTATTTCTCAGAAATGTTGTCCACTTACTCAGCTCTGTGCCCAAGGTTATCATCAGAAGCTGCTGTTGTGGGTGGTCTGAGTCCCCAAAGCCACCGCTGGCCCCCCAGTGTTCCTGTTCTATTGTTTAGAGAGTTTTTCGTTTCTCCATCTCACAGTTTCATGTGCCATAGGGCAGGTTCATCTATTTTGTTTTTCCCAGCTGTTTACCCTCCTCCTCCTTTTTTTTTTTTCCTCCTTCTCCATGAAATCTAACCTTCTCTAACTTAGTGAGCTGTTGAATCCCTGCTTCAGACTGGTGCACCTAGTTTTTTAGACATTAAGATGCTAGAGGGAATAAACATGTGGGCTACAGGTATGATGCCATCTTCCCAAAACCTCAAGATACTTTCTAATTTCTCTTTTGAATTTTCTTTGATGCATGGAAAATTTAGAAATGTGTTGTTAATTGCAAAATATTTAGGTATTATGTAGGTTTCTATGTGTCACTGTTGTCTAAGTCAATTAGAAACACACTTTGGTCAAATAACATACTTTGTATGGTTTGGATCCTTTTAAATTTATTGAGATTCATTTAACAGCCAATAATATGACCTATTTTGGGAAACATCCCATATACACTTGAAAATAATTTGTATTCAGCCATTGTTGGGTGGAGAATTCTATAAAAGGTAATTTGACCAAGTTGATTGACAAAACCAAACACCCATTGCCGCTGAGTTGATTACAACTCATAGTGACCCCCACTGGGTTTCCAAGGCTGTAAATCTTTACAGAAATAGATAACCTCATCTTTTTCCCATAGAGCAGCTGGTGAATTTGAACCACCAACCTTCTGGTTAGCACTCAAATGCCTTACATAGTGTGCCGGTAGTGCTTTTCAAGTCTTCTATGTCCTGGTTTACTAATGGATTTACCTGTTGTAGAAATTTATGTAAGTGGGATCAGACAATATTTGTCCTTTTGTTTTTGGCTTACTCGTTTCACTTAGCATAAAATTTTAAAAGTTTCTTTCCAATGGGCATTTCGGTTATTTCCACTTTTTGAGTATTGTGAATAATGCAGTGAGCACTGGTCTACATGTGTCTATTTTAGCTGCTTCTTTCAGTACTTTTGGGTACAAAATCCAGTGTATTTCTAGTTTATACTGTAATCCTGGAGTCCTGGTAGTGCCGTGGTGCTGTGGTGCCATGATTAAATGTTCAGCTGTTAACAGAAAGGTCAGTGGTTTGAACCCAGCAGTGGCTCCACCAGAGAAAGATGTGGCAGAATGATAATTCTGTGTTTTTAACTTTTTGAGGAAGCACCTAACTATTTGCCATAGTAGCTATCCTATTTTACATTCCTATCAGCAATGTATGAGTATTCTGAGATTTCCAAATCCTCTCCAACACTTGTTCTTATCTACTTTTTTAAAAAAAGCCAATTTATGGGTTAAAGTGATATCTAATTGTGGCTTTTATCTGTATTTCCTTAAGGACTAATGAGGTTGAGCAAATATTTAACTTTTGCAACCCCTACAGTGAAAAGCACAAAGAGAAAAGAATAGCTGTAGCTGTTGAGTCAGGTAACCAAATGTGAATTGCAGAATTACTACACTACTGAGTAGTGTAGGCATGGAAGTGGAACTCACAGCTCTACCCTGAATCCTACCCTCCAAGAGAATGGTAGGAAAGAACATGGAATTTTGCATATAAAGACTATTCCAGTTATAGAACTGTCACTAGCTTATGACTTTGAGTGAGCTGCAGTTTCATCTCTGTGAATTCAATTTCCTCATTTAAATACTAAGTATCAAGGTACCTACTTCATAGTATGGAGACTGAAATGAAAAGATGGATGATAAAATAACTGTTAAATTGCTTATTCTTATTATAATCATGCTGTTTATTTTCTGACAATTTTTTTTAATAAAACATTAAGATCACATCATTGGATAAAAATATAAGATGCTGATAGATCATCTGCTTCCACAAAGCAAATTAGAGACTTTTTGATGTTCTAGGTAGAGTTCCAGTGGGCTCTTGAAATTTATTTCCTTCTGAAAAAGCACATTATTCCCTACAACTTTGGAAAATATTTGCTTTCCTATAAGTAAACTGAAAACCTGAATCCAACAACCAAACTGTTGAATTCCTTTTGAAGAAAATTATTTACAAAAGAAATTTATATGCTTTTAAAGACACTTTATCTTCAGACAATTATTTGACAAAACCTAGGCATTATCCAACAACTTTTTAAACTTATTTTGAACTTAGGAGAAGCCTTTAAATTTTGATAAATAAATAATGTGGTATTTCTTTGGAATTACCAAAGGATGTAGAAATATCAGAATGGTCATACATTGCTGATTGTTGTTGTTGTTGTTGTTAAGTGCCGTCAAGTCGTTTCCGACTCATAGCGACCCCATGCACAGCAGAACGAAACACTGCCCGATCCCGCACCAGCCCCACAATCCCTGCTATACTCGAGCCCATCATCGCAGCCACTGTATCAATCCATCTCGTTGAAGGCCTCCCCCTCTTTCGTCGACCCTCCACCCTACCAAGCATGACATCCTTCTCCAGGGAATGGTCCCTTCTTACAACATGACCAAAATAGGTGAGACGAAGTCTGGCCATTCTTGCTTCCAAGGAGCATTCTGGCTGCACTTCCTCCAGGACAGATCTGTTAGTTCTTTTAGCAGTCCACGGTACTTTCAGCATTCTTCGCCAGCACCACAACTCAAAAGCATCAACTCTTCTTCGGTCTTCCCTATTCATTGTCCAGCTCTCACATGCATACAAGGTGATTGGAAATATCATGGCTTGTGTCAGGCGCACCTTAGTCCTCAAGGAGATATCCTTGCTCCTCAGCACTTGAAACAGTTCCTTCGCAGTTGACTTTCCCAATGCTACACGACGTCTAATGTCCTGACTGCTGCTTCCGTTGGCATCGATTGTAGAACCAAGCAATGTGAATTCCTTGACAACCTCAATCTTCTCTCCATTGATTGTGATGCTGCTCATTGGTCCAGTTGTGAGGATTTTTGTTTTCTTTATGTTGAGATGTAATCCATACTGCAGACTGTATTCTTCAACCTTCATCAGTAGGTGCCTTAAGTCATCCTCACTTTCAGCAAGCAGAGTTGTATCGTCTGCATATCTCAGGTTGTTAATGATTCTTCCTCCAATCCTGATACCACGTTTTTCTTCATATAGTCCAGCTTCTCGGATTATTTGCTCAGCATATAGATTGAATAAGTGTGGAGAAAGAATACAACCCTGACGCACTCCCTTCTTGATTTTAAACCATGTAGTGTCCCCTTGTTCTGTTCGAACGACAGCCTCCTGGTCAAGGTACAGATTCCTCATGAGTACAATCAAGTGCTCAGGGATTCCCATTCTTCTCAATGTTATCCATCATTTGTCATGATCCACACAATCAAATGCCTTTGCATAGTCAATAAAACACAAGTAAACATCTTTCTGGTATTCTTTGCCTTGAGCCAAGATCCATCTGACAACAGCTATGATATCCCTTGTTCCACGTCCTCTTCTGAATCCGGCTTGAACCTCTGGTTCCTTGCTGATAGGAATGTAAAATAGGACAGCTACTGTGGAAATAATGTGGTAGAAGAGATAACATCTCAGATTTATCTTAAAATAGGTATGGCCTGGACTTAAATAACAAAATTGAAATTTCAGTTAATTTTTACAAGACAAAATGCATTGATTAGAACTTAAAAGTATTAAACAATCCAGAAATGGAAAGTGAGAATGGTTTCAAAATTCGAAGAATGTGATCAATGTTACTGAACTGTACATGGAGAAACTGTTGAATTTGTGTATGTTTTGCTGTGTATATTCTCAACAATGACAATAAAATAAGAATTTTAGAAAAGAATACTTAAGTGCCTTCACTTTCACCTTGAGAACTGACTTGGTGCATCGTAACCAGTCTGCACAGGTACTATAAATCCACAGGATTATTATAGTTTATGGTGGAGTTTATTAATAATGTTCACTTCTTTAACAAAGATGTCACCTTGAAGATTAAGGCGTGCCTAACCCAAGCCATGGTATTTTCATTTGCCTCATATGCATGTGAAAGCTGGACAACAAATAAGGAAGACCACAGAAAACTTGATGCCTTTGAATTGTGGTGTTAGTGAAGAATACTAATACCATGGACTGCCAGAGGAACAAACAAACCTGTCCTGGATGAAGTGCAGCCGGAATGTTCCTTAGGAGCAAGAATGGCCAGTCTTCCTCTTACCTACTTTGATCATATTGTCAGAAGGGATCATTCCCTGGGGAAGGATATCATGCTTGGCAAAGTAGAACCAAAACCAAACTAAACTCACTGCTGTTGAGTTGGTTCCAACTTATAGCGACACCTCCTCGGGTTCCAAGGCAGTATCTCTATGGAAGTAGATCGTCTGGTCTTCCTTCTGAGGAGTGGCTGGTGGCTTTGAACCTCCAGCCTTCTGGTTAGCAGTCAAATGACTTAGGCACTACACCACCAGAGCTCCCTGGCAAAGTAGATGGTCAGCTAAAAAGGGGAAGACTCTCAATGAGTTGGATTGACACAGTGTCTACAGCAGTGCCTTCAAGCACAGCAAGGATAGTAGGGATGGTGCGGGTCCAAGCAGCATTTCCTTCTGTTGTACATAGGGTTGGTATGAGTTGCACCCAACTCAATGGCCCCTAACCATAACAACAACACTCTTTAACATGATATTATCCCAGAGTTTTTATAGTTTTACTCGCAAATATACAGGATCACATGTTCTGCAACTCTGGAGAAATTAGTTTATAAAAATTCTAAGTTTATGTACAAATATAAAAATATACTCATTTTAAGTAATATGTATTTTGTTAAATCTTTCTGCTTTAGGACTCCTCTCTGCTTCTCCAGTCAACTCAGAATGTGACTGTGAATGCCCGCAACTCTGAAGGGGAGGTCACAGGCAGATTAAAAGTGGGTGAGTCACATTTAATCAAGATGCTTTGCACATGTGGCTTCCATAAATAGTTGTGCTTAGTGAATACATTTTGTCTTCCTTCTAAATAAGTCAGAGTTTTTTATGATCAAGAGAGTATGAATTTTCTAAATATCACACTGCGTTGACTTTGGAGAATAGTTACTACCACAGGGGGCAGTCTAGAATATTTCAGGTAAAGTTCCTTTGGTTCCAGGACATACAGGACCATCCAAGTCAACACAAGAAACAAAAATGTTTATTCCCAGGATGCAGAGAAATCTCCCAGAGACTAAAATAAAGGGACTGAAGTGTACTTGACCTCAAGATAGATGCTAGAGACTGGCAGCCAAAGGTGTACATTCACTCTCATTCTCTCTCATTCTCTCCCTCTGCTCCCTCTTTCTCATCCTTTCTTCCTCTACTCTACTCTCCTTTTCAGTTTATTTTCCTCCTATTCACTTACACATGCATGTTATAGTATGTAATAATGTGGTTATAGGTGTACCTATTCAGACTCTAGGAGCTCTGGTAGCATAGTGCCTAAGGCACTTGACTGCTAACCAGAAGGCTGGTGGTTCAAACCCACCAGCCACTCCTCAGAAAGTTGGGCAATCTACTTCCATAGTGATACTGCCTCGGAAAGCCAAGGAGGAGTTGCTATGAGTCAGGTCCGACTCGATAGCACATAACAACAACAACATTTGGACTCTACATGATCTATTTGACCTCACTGTTCTTCATCTGTTGGCTAGTGTTCCCAACACCAATAACTCTAGTCTTCAATTACGCAAATTCTAAATTCACAACAAAATACTCTAATTAGCTCCACTCATGTTGTCAACGAGTTGCCCATAAGTCAAGTATAGACACCCTTCCAATCAGCTAAGGTCTATGGACTCTAACAGGTGACCAGAAGAAACTAAAATGTCATATACATTTCTTGTATAGTGAGGAGAAAGATTAGAAAGAGAGTAGAGATGAAATAAAACAGCACACTAGCTGATAAAACGAATCTGCCTGTATTCTCTACACAGTCAACACTCCAGATTTTCTGGATCTAGGAAATTGGATGGTCCTTCTGATTATGGAAGAATAGTTGAGAGTTGCCCTGCCAACACAACTGGTGTCAGTATTTAAAAAAAAAAAAAAAAAACAAACAGAATAATGTTACATAGGAAACTACAGCCCTATTGTGGTAGTTAAAGTTGTGTATCAACTTGGCTAGGTCATGGTTCTGAGTGGCTTGGCAGCTGGATGTAATTATTCCCCATGATGAGAATGTAATGACCTCCATGGTGGCATTTGCTGTGAGACATTAATCAGTGGAAGGGTAGTTGCCTTCGGGCTGTGGCCTGCTTCCAGTGCATATTGAGAAGCTTTGAGAAAGGTCTACAGCTTTTTGGCACATTTTGCACCTGCATTTGGCTGAGTCTTCATCCCTAGTTCCTGGACTTGAACCAGATTGTGCTGTTTTACCTGCGAATTGTGGATTCATCAGCCTCAGCAGCCAGCAGCCAGCAGCTGCATGAGTTAGGTGATGCCTACAGCTCCAGTGGGCCTGGAACAAGAGGTAGAGCTGAAGCCCAAGGTTAAGGGGCATTCACCCAGCTCCTAGAGCCAGCACTCTAAATTCTGACTTCTAGCCTCCTCAACTGTAAAAGAACAAATTCCCATTTGTGAAAGCCATCCACTTGTGGTATTTCTGTTATAGCAGCATTAGAGAGCCAAGACACCTATGTTAATCTGATGATGCCTGTTTATTATACTAACACAAGATATTCCATATTTTATGTTCTGTTAATCTTTATAATTTACTGCAAAAATCTAGCTGCACTTCTTTTTCTTAGAAGTTCTGTTTAATCGATAAGTCGAGTAAAATTCTCAGTGAATTTAAAGATGAACCTTAGTATATCCAGCAGACCGTTTCCTGAAACTTGTCTAAATCGAACATTTTCTTGATGAATAATACAGTATTTGATTTATCTTTACCATTCTTTCTTAAAATTGTTGAGTATACCTTTTAAATGTTTGAGTTTTTGTCCATTGTCTTCCATTCATTTAAGAAACATTACTGAATATCTATGTGTTGTCATCACCACCCGTCTGTGAGTTTGTCATACTGTAGTGGCATGTGTGATACTGGAAGCTAAATGGCGCCAGGGTCACCCACAGTAGACAGGTTTCAGTGGAGCTTCCAGTGGATACTGCTAAAGGGCCAAAGAGGCAGTATCTTCCTACCTCCTGTAATTATACAAGAGGAAGACAGAATCACCATTAGCAGCCCAAGGCCTGTTCTTATGAAGCCAAACATGCCACCACCCTCCAGCCATCTTACTAACCTTGTCACCAACCGTTCCTCCCACAGCACCCACCACCTCTTTGCTGGGTTCAATAATACACTGCAGTGGCCACATGGAACTCACAGATTATGGGGTTTTTAGGGAAGCAACAGGCTACAGTTCAAGTTCAGGAACACACTCAGTTTCTCTCAGCCAGCCGTCTCAGCAGCTGGCCATCTCTCTCAACAGCCAGCTGTCTCTCTCTGCAGGCCATTTCTCTCAGTCTCTCTCAGTAGTACCTCTCTCTCTCAGCAGTTCATGTCTCTCTCATCTCTCGGCAGCGTGTCTCTCTCACATCTCTCTCAGCAAGCCCGTCTCTCAGCGGTAGTCAGAAAGACTATTCTTCCTCTCTGTCTCTAAGAGGGCTCAGTTTAAGCCCAGCAGAGTGGCAAAACCAACCAATCCCACTACCAGAATTCCACATACCTGAGAAAGAGAGATAACAAACTTCCCAGAAAATTGTTTCATGCTGCTTTCAACAGAAATACCCTAGGTGGATAACTTTAATAATCAGAAGCTACTTAGTTTCTCATGCCAAATTTTCCACCGTGGAGTTTACAAAGATTATGGCTAGAAAAGCCATTGTTGTTGTTGTTATGTGCTGTCAAATCGGACCCAACTCATAGTGATCCCTCCTTGGGTTTCTGAGGCGGTATCACTATGGAAGTAGATTGCCCAACCTTCCTTCTGAGGAGTGGCTAGTGGGTTTGAACCGCCAGCCTTCTGGTTAGCAGTCAAGTGCCTTAGACACCATGCTACCAGAGCTCCTAGAAAAGCCATACTACGTAATTTATTACACTGCAGATACCAACAGAACATTGCCAGATGCAGTGCTGGAAGATGAGCCCCTCAGGTTGGTAATCACCCAAAATATAACTAGGGAATAGCTGCCTCCTCAAAGTAGAGTCAACTTTAATGACACAGATGGAGTTAAGCATTTAGGATCTTCTTTTCCTGGTGCTGCACAACTCAAAATAAGAAGCACCAACTACAAGCATCCATTAGTAATTAGAATATGGAATGTATGAAGTGTGAATCAAGCAAAAATGGAAGTCATCAAAAATAAAATATAACGCTTGAAGATCCCTAGGTATTATGAGCTGAAATTGACTGGTCTTGGTAATTTTTAATCTGACAATCATATAGTCTCCCATGTTGGGAATGACAGATTGAAATGGTATTAGGTTAATGGTCAAAAAGAATATTTCAAGATCTATGTTAAAGTACAATGCTGTCAATGGTATATTACTATATATACAACTATAAGGAAGGTCAGTTACTACCACTATTATTAAAATGTATGCACCAACCACAACACAAATGCCAAAGTTGAAGAAATTGAAGATTTTTATGAATTGCTGCAATCTGAAATTGACCAACTATGCACTCAGGATGCACTGGTAATCACTAGTGTTTGGAGTGCAAAGGTTGGAAGGAAAACAGGATCAATTGTTGGAAAATAGGCCTTGGTGATAGGAACAGTCCCAGAGATTGCATGATAGACAAAGACTTATTCATTGGGGAAAAATTTTTTCTGCAACTCAATTGCTGATTACACACATGGATCTCAAGGCCTGAATTATACAGGAATCAGATCAACTATATCTGTGTAAGGAGCTGATGAAAAACTTTAATATGATCAGTCAAGACCAAGCCAGGAACAGATTTGCAAATTGCTCATATGCACCTTCAAATTGAAGCTGGAGAAAATCCAAACAAGTCCAAGAGAGCTTGGAATGCATCCCACCTGAATTTAGGGACCATTTCAAGAACAGATTTGATGCACTGAACACTAAAGACCAAACCCAGAAGAATTTTGGGATGACATTAAAGACATCATATGTGAAGAAATGAAAAAGTCATTAAAAAGACAAAGAAAGAAAAGATCAAAATGGATGTCAGAAGACACTCCAAAAATTGCTTTTATTAAGCACAGAGTAGTTGTATTGGGTACCTAGTGCCGCTCTGACAAGAATATACCACAAATGGATGGCTTTAACAAGCAGGAGTTTATTCTCTTACGATTTGGAGGCTTTAAGTCCCAGTTCAAAGCGCCAAGCTCTAGGGGCTGGATGAATGCCCCTCAACCTTGGGCTTCAGTTCTGCCTCCTGCTCCCAGCCCACTGAAGCTGGAGGCTTTGCTTCACTCAGACAGTGACTGGCTGCTGAGACTAAAAAGCCCAAGGTTGACAAGTAAAAAGGCACAGTCTCAATGTTACCAAACTACATGGCAGGCCATTAATTCAATCCATTGAAAGTCCCAAGGTTGGCAGAGCATGACAGGCTGCTGAACAATGACATGGCTACGTGCAGGGTTCAAACTGCCATAAGCTAGAGACTGTTCCCCAAGGCTTCTCCTTATATATAGGAAGCAGACCACATCCCTAAGGCAGCTACTCACCTGTTCACAGTAGATTCCACCATGAAGTGATTACCAGTTTCATCATGGGGAATACATCCAGCTGCCCAGCCACTCAACCAGGCCCAGCCATGACACACAAACTTAACTACCACAGTAGCTAAAGGGAACAGAAGAAATGATGAAGAGCTGAACAGAAGATTTCAAAAGGCAGTTCTAGAAAACAAGGTAAATTATTACAATTGTCAAAAATAAACAACTCAGAACACCATTAACAGATTGTTATGTAGGCTTAATAAATG